TGATTGCTGTTGCTCAACTGGCTTCCTTGGCCAGGCACCAGAGATCAAGTGGGAGATGCAGGTGCACGTAGCTGGTTGTACAGATGGGTAGGAGGTAGAAGCTGAGAGCGCTCTGCCAGCACCTCTCATGCAGCCCTGCCCATGCATTTAGGCTGCCCGAGGTGGAGAAACAAATAGCCCCAGGCTCCAGGTTGAGACCATCCGACACTCTTCCCTTGGGTCCCATCTCACTTCCATGCACAGATCTGCACTCTCCATTTCCCCAAGGTCAGCAAAGGGGTACTGGGGCAATGTAGCTTGAGCTACAGTCCTTCAGCATCTCTCTCCCGTTTGACTTTCCAGGCATCCCTGTGCTTGGACTCTCCTTCAGCCAAGAGCGTCCCTGCTGCTGTTGCAAACCAGCACCGGATCAAAGCCCTGCTGCAGCAGCTGCCCCCTCAGGACTGTGATGTAAGCTTGGCAGGAGATTTCCATCGGGACCCTGCACTTTCCCTGCCTCCTGCAGCCATCTCGCTCTTCCATACCATGCTGGCTTGGTACCCTCTGCTATTCCAGGCCCAGCCCCGTCCCCACAGATCCTTCCCAGCACCTCAACACTGCTCTGGAGCATGTGACCATTTCAGCCTGGGCATGCCAGGACAGCTCCTCAATCCTACTCTTCCAGCCCTGCTGCTACCCCAGGTCCCCACTCCTCAGTTTCAGCCATTGTCTCATTCCTGGCTTGCAGCCTCCTGGCTCTGATGCCAGATTCTGCCCTGTGGACATGTGCCCAAGGTGGCCAAGGCTGTGACCCTCCAGACAAACTTCTTGCACTTGCACCCGTTCTGGGATTCTTTACTCACCAAGGCAGTGTCCACTTTGGAGCACAGGTCTGCAGGGGTGATGGAGAAGCTTATCAACCTCCTGGGCCCCTTCTGGTTCCTCTACAGGAGAGGTACTGCCCTGGCCTTGGGGAGGAGGAGAGGCAACAACTGGAAGCATTCAGCACCCAACGGAGGCAGGAAGCCCTGGGGCAGGGATCTGTGTGCCCTGTGCCACCCACCAGCCATGAGTGTCTTTGCAAGAGGGTAAGACGTCTCTCCCAGGCCTGTTCCCACCTCCTGTGTCCCCAGCAGCTGGAATCCATCAGCCGCTGCAGCAATGCCCCTTCTCCCAGGCCTCAGGTCCCAGGAAACAGCTTGAATGACTACGCCCATTTGCCTTACAGTGCGGCAAGAGGATGAACAAAGGCGACCCGGCGGTGTTTGCCTCCTGGCTGGGGGATCACTGCTGCTGGCATCCCTCTTGCTTCGTCTGCCACTCCTGCTGCCAGCCCCTTGTGGACCTCATCTACTTCCACCAGGACGGCAACATCTACTGTGGTCGGCACCATGCAGAGCTCTTCAGGCCACGCTGTGCCTCATGTGATCAGGTAAGTAGGCAAGAAGTTACACAGGCACAGGCGTGGAGTCGTGGGCACCCAAAGGCTGCAACTAATGAAGCGAGCTACAGCTCATGAAAGCATGTGCTGTA